TCTACCAAGGTGGTTCTAAACAGTTCCTGAATACCTCTACGTGTCATTTGGAGACTTCTATGCTTTTTGTGCTTGACCATTAAGCTCGTAATTTTAGTCACCTTACCACTTCAAATGATTCTTTGCAGCCTCAACGCTAAAAGAGAGCTGGAAATTCCTTCTTTTTAGCCAATAAAAATGACCAAAACATTTCAGTTCAAATTAAGAAAAACTGTATTGGGTAGTGTTTTGTTGTTGTTTTTTTCAGTAAAAATGTCCCTCCCCTCTGGCTCGTGAAGGGTCTGTTCCACCTTGTTTCCTAAACACAAAAACAGAAATATGCCTAATAATATTTCAATAAAATTAATAAGCTTATATTTTTCTGAAGGATTCTTAGCAGATATATATAAACGGATAGGTAGATAAATGTAACTTATTCTGAATACTAAGATACTCTGCTTATTGTACTTTGAGTTTTCTTAACAACGTACTAAATCAATACTTTAATGATTAAAAAATAAAATAATAATGTGTAGTAAAAGATAGATTTGGTTTATCACACTCTTAATACCAGCAAGAATTTTATGTTTTCCAACCACGACTTATCTGGACTTATTAGGAAAACACGTAGGTCCAAAATCAATTAATGACAAAAATACGAAACCAGTTTGACCCTGATAAAGAAGGGTACACTTTTCGAAAGCGCTCGGGTCATAGGGTCATTGAAGTTCAATTGTAGTCTTGTATCGATATCCTCAACTTGCGCGCTCATAGTTCACTAGTTGGTATTCATAGTAAGAAAACAGTCTGAATGGTTGTAAAATGTATATGTATAAGAGGATTCTATTTCTTTAGAAGGCTTAAGATAATTTAACCTACTCCTTACCACTAAATGTTGTAAAACGTATATATTTAGTAATTAAACGGAATGTGTATTCGAGGCGAGTTTTCTACATTGTTCTAAGTCTCTTATAAAGAAGCAAGTTTGTTTCCTGGGAATCAGAAAATATATACAGAAGAACTGCACATAACAGTAGAAGTACAAGACGATTTAGTGCATACGCTTGGTTGAGTTTGTGTACACAACATGTGACATTCTGAAGGGCGAAGAGTGTTTGGCGCCAACCGTGCAGACGTTAGTTTATTCTTTTTTTCTTTTTTTTTCAAATGTTAATTGTGACTGTTACATTATATAATGGCCTACTCCTTGGAATCTTTCACGATGCTTTTCAAATGTCAGAGTCTCCGCCAAGATAAGAAAGTTATTTTAAGTCGCTTGTTTTCACAACAGGTAAACAAGAAAGATGGTATAACGTTTTTAGCACTGTCTGGTCTGTAGATAGGCTGTCAACGAGTGGAAAACGTAGGGCCACTGACTCTATCAATCCAGCAAACTAACCGACTAAGTTGCATGTAAAAAAAACAAAAAAAAACTGGATTCGCTTCAGTTTAGTAAACAGTAAGTTTAAGGGGAAAATAACAGTAAGAAACACATTTTTTTATCTTTCGTTTAACTCACATTTCATAAATGAAATGCTGTACTTGTTACATTTTGTCAACAACAAACTTAAACGTAGTGTTTTAACCCACCACAAGAGGTCGTTAAGTATTTATTATGTTTCTGCTATTAACATTCATATTGTCAATATTTTAGAATTTTTTATAACTAAATTTCCGTGTCAATTGTATAGACTATAGACAGTTGCCTATGAATCTGTGAAGGTATAAAATTCGTTGGTCGTATCATTGATTGTTTCATAATGCAATTAATAATTATTTTGTATGTCCTCCAGTGGCTCAGCATTAAGTCTACAGACTTACAACGCTAAAAATTAGGTTTCGATAGCTATGGTGGGTAGAACACAGGTAGCCCATTGTGTAGCTTTGTGCTAAACAACAGTCAAACCAAACCTAACTCTTTTGTGAGTAAGGTCAATTTAAATTGAAAGCAGGATAGTGCTTTTTATCTTTAAATGAATTTAATACGAACAAATTTAATCATTAGAATCTTTACATTGTTAAACAAAAGAAATTAAAACATAAATCCATTAATGTGACATGCTTTAATTCTTCTGAATATCTTGAAATTCTTTACTGCAAATTTGCCAAAGAAAAGATTTAGAGATAACTTTTAGTATTTTTATCGTTATTTGTTATTCAGTAAAAATAAACTGCCTAAACTGGTCTGTCATAGAATATTATTTTTTTATATATACATCTCTTGTCCTTTACTGTTACTGACTGTCCCGTCAGTGGGGAAGTCTTTTCTTGGTAGATGGTTAGCAAATTCGCCAGTGGCTCTATCCTTGGTGATATTATGAAAGTGGTCAGTATACTTAACTAGAGAAGTTCCACTGATGTATAAGCAGTTGGCTGTTCTCCTGTGAATATCCCTCCAAAGAATTATCCTTGGTTTGGACCACCTATTCTTCTGAATTCTACTCTTTTGTTTTTCATTCTAAGTTGGTTGTCTTCATTACCCTGAGTGGCCATCGTTGTTGTTATCTGAAAGTCCCTCTGGATGTGTAATTGTCGTACAGTGCACGGGGGTGTGTTTATCATAGACTGTGAAGCCAGCCTAACCTTACATCAACATTTCCACATGAAGTCAGTTCACAATATGCACTCTTCGTCAATTTCAATTACTCACATATCATGTAATATAGAGAAGTTTCACACAGTGAGGGAGACTTACAACATTCTTCTTGCCGTAATTTTATGTCCATTTGCTGTTCACACCAATCCATCTATTTTATTCATCTCTGGAGGAAATTTCCCACTTTTAATAACCAAATCGCGTCAGATAGCTGTAGCCATAGAAATAGATGTACTACATGACTTCCATCAATAAACCCATTGACTTATGGACCGGTTTAGCTAAATAATACACTTCTTATTTTCTTGTTTCTGTTGGGACAGGTGGGGTATTCTCAACCTCGGGATACTGGCTCCTTGGTATATTATCAACGACTGATTAATTACAGTCTCGGACGTTATGTCCTTGTGTTTCTTACTTATAGTAGTTTTCTTTTTTTCTAGTGTCTTGTGGGAACAGTTTCTAGAAATTTGCAGTTGATACACCCTGTGGTTTACTTTTTCTATCCTGAGTAAATAACTGTCTAAAAGTCTAATTAGTCCTTTGAAATCTTCTAGATTTCCATCAGAAATAGTTAATGCTTTATTGACGATTTCTGAATGGTGCTTTCAGTTGATTGTCTGCACTTTTAATTGACTCAATTTCCATTACCAACTGAAGATCATCTACTTTCTTTTAGAGTAATTCGCACATTCTCATCCACTATAGCATCTGTGAATTGGTCCTCAGGACAGAATAAGTGACCAAGCCTTTCTACATCTTTTGCAAATTTGCCTAAGGTCTAATCTTTCCTCGTACTCTGCTACTAGACTTCGATTTGGAAAATTCCTTCTGGTGTGTCACTCTAAACCTTTTGGATAAGACAGCTATCAGTGCTTGATAGTTGTTACAGCTCTCAACTGGATGGTTGATTAATGTTGTTAAACCTAGTCCTTTTAAATGCTCAGCAAGGCGAGTAGTTTGTTCACTGTTTCATCCATTCACTAATGGAATTATTGTGAACTGAGCCTTATATGCCTATCATGGTACTTTTCCTGTTGATTTAACCCAATCTGATTAAATTTCTATCTTAATGAGGCATTAATATAAATGGAGTAGTCCATGATGATCTTGCAATCATAGATGGTATAGTAGTAGTTGTAACAAATGTAGACCAAATGGGAAGGTCTTGCAATCATAGATGGTATAGTAATAGTGGTAACAAATGTAGACCAAATGGGAAGGTCTTGCAATCATAGATGATATAGTAGTAGTGGTAACAGATGTAGACTAGATGTGAAGGTCCTGCAATCATAGATGGTATAGTAGTAGTGGTAGCAGATGTAGACTAGATGTGAAAGTCCTGCAATCATAGATGGTATAGTAGTAGTGGTAACAGATGTAGACCAAATGGGAAGGTCCTGTAATCATAGACAGTATCGTAGTAGTGGTAACAGATGTAGACCAAATGGGAAGGTCCTGCAATCATAGATGGTATAGTAGTAGTGGTAACAGATGTAGACCAAATGGGAAGGTTCTGTAATCATAGATGGTATAATGATCATTCTCCACATCTCAACCAGCTTCTTGTCTTCAATCAAATATATTTCTGATCTTCTTCCTTCCTTAACTCTTTAAACACACTATTTTTTGCACATTCTGCCAGGATTATTTTCATGATTTCCTAATAATTATCACCATACCTTCTACATTTTGAATTTTCTTAATTTTGTTCTTTCCTTCAACATCAGGCGGTATGGATACTCACATTGTTGAGTAAATAGCCTCACACCTCTTCCTGTTGAACATTTGGTGATAGAAGGGTGGGTAGAGAGACTGGTGGGTAGCGAAGTAGTATCTGTGGGTAGAGAGACTCGTGGGTGGTAGAAGGGTGGGTAGAGAGACTGGTGGGTGGCGAAATAGTTTCGAATGCGAGGTCGTTTGTCGATGCCCACTGATGTTGTCATTGCAAGAAACTTCAACAGCTTGTACCTCGACTGTCTCTAAGAGTACGGTTTCTTTGCAATTTGTGCTTTTATGTACTCGTTGATAGCAGTGATGAAAGCGATAATTATATCTCAAACAGTCGAGGGGCATTGAGTTGTTCGGCAAAAACTCAAAGTCGTTACTTCTGGATGAACTATCTTGCAAACCTATCTCAGCCCAATCATAATCTCTGGCTCTGGATTCCGCTTTCGTGATCTCTTTGCACCCCCTACGTCTTGGCTAAGGGTGATGTTCTGCTCCTCCTCAAAACTGACTTTAACTCGCGAAATGTTCAAGTAACTTTCTGATGTTTTCATAATATTATATTTTTTTTCCTATTCTCTACAAAATTCGAGACATCACGTCACTCCAAATGCAGACAGCCAGGAAATTTCTTGGCATCAGACATCATCACTCCACCATGCCAAAACCTCATATAGTAAACACTACAAAAGGTCTAAATTAAAATTTGGAGTTCAAATACAGTTCTGTGACTTACACGCCAACAACACGATATCAGTGATTCGTGTTATTAACGCATGTACTATGGTATTTTTACATAAGTGGAAATGATAAGTCAGTTTAAAATCCACCCTTGTTTGTAATCATCGTGTGCAAGTGTTAAAGAAAGCAGTAGAGAAACTTTCATAACAGTAGAGAGGTTAATGCATTAATGGATTGAATGTGCCTAATCTAAAAATCATACTGTCAATCTCTTTGGAATGAATGAAAAGTTCTCCTTTCTTTAAGTTTAGCTTTTCCATTTCTCTGCACTACACTTTATCTATACTTTCTTATTTTTTGTGAGAAATAACTTTAATTTCTGACCACCCCTGGGATATTAAACCTAAATACCTACCACGATAGGATTGGATTGTAAATTGTGTCTACAACTTTTTTGTTCAAGATTCGCGCTATTTTTCCTTTCTAGACCGTTAACTTTTGTTACCTTTATATTATTTACTTTTCATTGTCGTTCTTCCCTCCTATTAAGTTCACATACCCCTTATTGTTGTATCCCTTTGAACAATATTACAATTTACTATATTTATACAGTTTTTATACCGATTCTTTTTTCATGTTACTTCCCTTAGATCATTTGTAGCTTCAGGAACATATTCTCCAGCCACGTGTTACTGGTCCTTTAAACCTAACCCTTATATTGACAGTTTCATCGTCACTGGTAACCTGATGAAAGGCTGTTTTCCAAAACGTTGTTTTCTTGTTTTATTAATAAAATTATTTTAATTTGGCGAGTTTGTCATCACTACTTTACATTTTATTTTTCATTTTGTTATTTCCTCGCATACGCAATTATTTTATTACTGAAAGTATAAAATTAAATGTATGGACAACAAAACTGGAAAAATATTTGTTGACTTCTGAATTTAGAGTCTCTGTTGATTAAAGAGGTTTGTGTTTTTTTATTTAAAATGTTGATGATATAACAGAAAATAGCTTAATTCAGAAATGATTTAAGTTTAAATTGAATTGATATTTTTACTTTCATGATAAATTTTATTCACTTGGCTCTAGGCTAGGTGATCCCACACTAAGTCTTTACTTTAGGCTTATTATACCAACACTCACTACACTTATAAGGTTTCACGGCACATACCCCACCCTCTTGCACCCCCCCCCCCTCACTAAAATCGTAATGGGCAGACAGTAATCGAATTATTCTATATGGATAAATGCATTTTGGTATTTATGACTCCTTTTATTTCGAGAAACCACGTGTGACGTGAACACATTGGCTTTTATATTCGTTAGATAAGATACTGGTAATAGACTTAATATATATTTAACGCTAGATTGGTTATTCAATCTCTTAGGACTTTTCAAAAAGAAAAATCTATAATTGTATGTCAACCACATTATATCCATATTTATTTGATTTTTCCCGTGACCGAACACAGAGAAGCTTCCAACAGGGACATCAAAACATACGTATGATTTATTGAAAGTTAGTTGTTTCTGGCTGTCATTTTTACCTCTTCGCTCTGGACCAGTCATAGAGGCAACGAAACTTGTGAAGTTTTCTTATCAGAGCATTACTATAGTCAGCTGTTTGAAAAACTGACCTAACTTTCTTCACAGTTATTCCTAACTGGAGATTAACAGAACAATATAAATGTATAAGGACCAAATATATATTATATATATATATATGTTAATACGTCTATAACTGAGAAACGCTAAGCTAATACGGCAACGACAAACATGTTGAATAAACATGTAAAACTACAATTAAATACTTAAAAGAAATGTTCAAATAATTAATAGAATTAATTAATAAAGCATGATTTATTTATACATGATTCTCATTTATTTACTTAGTGAATTCACTGAAGTTTTGAAGAATTAGCAGCGTCAAACGGACTGGATGAGGGGGTATATTTATAGATGTGTATTTCGTGTTTTGTTTTGTTTTCACTTAAGAGTCACGTGGTGTATGCAAGCACATATGTTAAGCTGTAATTTTTTTTTCACGCACAAGTCATTTATTATACAAGAATACATTCTTGATACAATCGGCGAATTCAAACAGAAAGTCTGCGTTCCTCACGGATATAATATTTAGCTTTCACGAATTAGACCTAAAACGATGTTCATTGCGTGTTGAAACTATTCCGTAAAGTGTTTTAAGACTTGTATCACGTGCAAGAAGAGAAAAAGCTAGTTAAATCATATTTATTGACCTTTTTTTGTTTTTACTGTTGGACTTGCTGAATGGAATCTATACGTGTTGTTTAACACTAAAGATGCTGCTATTTAGTCAGTCGACTAGTGACTCCTGACTACAATGATTAAATAACTTTAAAATACTCTTTTTTTATAACAAGTGGAACCAAAGTTTCATATTAAAGTTAAAGTTTTATACAATGGTTTCTACACTATGTGTTTTCTTCAAATAGAAATTTCAGAGGTTCCTTATGCTAGTAATAAATGAGGCATAGCTGATGAAACAAAACTCGATTATTTTCATTCGGCTGTTGACGATACAGTTGGTGTAACTTTGGGAATACGTATTTTTGTTAGAATCATAAGAAAAATTAAATGGTTTGAATGTTATGCTTTGGTAATAGTTTACTCTTTTCCTTGCAAGATAAAAAGAAGTATTAAAGTTTTGTACTATATATATATATCATAATGTTTCCATTTATAATCATAGCAAACGCTACTTGTGAGACAATTCGATGTCACCAGAGGAAAACTTGCTTACTTAATTTGAAAACGAGGCTTCCCACGTGTGTCCGTTGTCCAATGGCCTGTCCATGGGTGAAGTCAGTCCCTATCTGTGCCACTAATAATCAGACATATTTAAACTGGTGCCAGATGATGATACATTCTTGTCAAACAAAGGTTATGTTGGAGACCACAAGTAAAGAAGCATGTTCAGGTGAGTGATTCTTGTTAATAAAGGTTTTGTTGGAGACCACAAGTAAACAAACATGTTCAGGTGAGTGATTCTTGTAGAACAAAGGTTTTGTTGGAGACCACAAGAGAACAAGTATATTCAGGTGTGTTATTCTTGTAGAACAAAGGTTTTCTTGAAGACCATAAGTAAAAAAGCATGTTCAGGTGAGTGATTCTTGTTAATAAAGGTTTTGTTGGAGACCACAAGTAAACGAGCATGTTCAGGTGAGTGATTCTTGTAGAACAAAGGTTTTGTTGGAGACCACAAGAGAACAAACATGTTCAGATGAGAGATTCTTGTTAACAAAGATTTTGTTTGAGACCACGAGTAAACAAGCATGTTCAGGTGAGTGATTTTTGTTAACAAAGGTTTGGTTTGAGATCACAAGTAAACAAACATGTTCTGGTGAGTGATTCTTGTAGAACAAAGGTTTTGTTGGAGACCACAAGTAAACAAACATGTTCAGGTGAGTGATTCTTGTACAACAAAGGTTTTCTTTGAGACCATAAGTAAACAAACATGTTCAGGTGAGTGATTATTGTTAACAAAGATTATTTTTGAGACCACAAGTAAACAAGTATGTTCAGATGAGTGATTCTTGTTAACAAAGGTTGTGTTGGAGACCACAAGAGAACAAGTATATTCAGGTGTGTTATTCTTGTAGAACAAAGGTTTTGTTGGAGACCATCAGCAATCAAGCATGTTCAGGTGAGTGATTCTTGTTAACAAAGATTTTGTTTGAGACCACGAGTAAACAAACATGTTCAGGTGAGTGATTCTTGCATAACAAAGGTTTTGTTGGAGACCACAAATAAATAAGCATGTTCAGGTGAGTGATTATTGTTAACAAAGGTTTTATTTGAGACCACAAGTAAACAAACATTTGAAGAGGAGTGATACTTTTTTGAAATGGACATAGAAAGTTGAGATTTATGTATTTTTCGACAATATTACATATAATAGTCTCATTACCATTTTAAAAATCTCCTAAAAGAAAAATATATGACAATTAACATCTATAATTGCTAGCAATAGCATTATAGTAATATCATAGAAAAAACAAATTGCATTGTTTGTCTGAAGGAGCACGTTTACTAAACTGAGAAAAAGTTTGGTGATTTTTTGTAGTTACTAAGTAATATTTGTAACGTCCTATCAAGTTTTCTATTGATATCAGTAAAAAATAAGAAAATATTTTTTTTACTTGTCACCGTTCTTTACAAAAGTGAACTATGCTTCTAATTCAAATTAAATGAAATAGTTTGATCACATATTAATAATATTTTAAATTGAGCAACGACCCTTTTTAACATATAATTAAAAAATGAAGTTACTAACGTCATGTATACAAAATAGGAAAGTGGTTTGAAACAATAGATGACAGATTTCAGACACTGTTAAGCATACAGGATAATTAAAGCATCTGCCTTGGAATATTCTAGCCTTGTAAGTTAAATATATTTTTCTCTTTGAATACTTAATGATGGGTCCTTCTGAGCATGTCGTAAACGTGAATTTCACTTTGCTGGCAGAAGAGTTGGATAAGCTTTTACTCCGTTGACTTCGCTTATCTTTATTTACGGCCTGTATGTGTAACTCTTATACGGTCGTGAAAAAAAAATGGTGATGGTGTAACCTACAGAGCATTGGTCGTTGACTAAATCGGAAAGACCAGAATATTCAACGCTCTCTGATGCTGTAATATTACACGCATGAGACAATTGTGACCTTGAGAACGAAAATAAAACAAGCCACTAGTCTAATAGCGGAGAGAAGTGGTAGTAATCTTTGAAACCAAGAGATAACATGATTAATGTACTATCTCTGAAGAGAGTACATCGAGCTTCATCATGGGGGAGTCGCCCCCCCCCAGTGACACAGCGGTGTGTCTGCGGACTTACAACGCTAGAAACCGGGTTTCGATACCCGTGGTGGGCAGAGCACAGATAGCCCTTTGCGTATCTTTGTGCTTAACTTCAAACAAACAAACATACATGGGGGAGGGGGGGATCGAGATCTAGTTGCCCTCCAATAAAGCCAAAACTAACAATATTTTCGTGGTGGTTCAGGGTGAGATAGTTTCACTTACCTGTGACATAGTAGATTTGAATGGAAAATGGACGACTTTTCGGTATGACATAGTAGAATTGAAAACTTTAATGGATTGCAACAGTCTGTTGGATGGAAAAGGGAAGATGTTTCGGTTTTTATATTGAGGGCTCCTCAGGTCTCAAAAACACCTCAGTATAGAAACGTCGTCCTTATTTCGTTCAACGGGCAGTTGGAGT